GTAAAGACAACTGCAGCTATAGACATCTTGTATCAAGGCAGACAACTGAAGTCATATCTTGTATCAAGACAGACAACTGCAGTTATATCTTGCATCATGGTTAGCAAATTGCATTACATCTAAGTATCAAGAAGTTATATTTACTGTGCATTTTATCTTTCTTTTTTCTTCTAATTTTGCTGTCTTAACTGTAAATGAAACCCCATTTATCCAACTTCCTAGTTTCTATTCCAGCTTTCTAGTTTCAGAGAGTTGAAGTAGTTTTATAGAGAGGATTAGGTTCATGGTTATTATAACTGAACTAGAAATTATATTTATGGTTAAGAAACATCCATCAATAATTCTGCCCATATCAAATATAGCAGAAACTGTGAGAATCCTTTCTAATGATTAAAGAACTTGTCCTAATGATATGTGTTTTTTTTATCTACAGATAACTTTGGATATGAAAAAGTCTGTCTCCAATTAGGGTGGTCTCTCAAGGAAGCTGTTTCCATTGAATTTAGTAAGTTAATGGATATTGGGGTAGCTAGCTGTCTGGCCATACACACCTGCTGAGCGCTGAAGTAGGTACGGGCACCCCGTCTCAGAAGGTCTGGGTTGACATTGTTTGGCTTGTCTGCTATGTCAGTCAGCTTTGTGATGCCGATTCCAAAACTGCCATTTTCCCTGTAACACATGATTACTGACTGTATGTTTTGAAAATGAGGATCCTAAAAGGTCTATATGGTGTATTGAAGTCTGAGTTGCGCATTGCTATACATATTTAAGATAAGCAGATGAATCATAAATTATTTACAAATTTAACTTCTGCAGTTACTTCATTAATGATAACCATGTTCCTGTCACAACCTGATAAACCATAATGCAATGTTTGTAAAGGAAGTAAAGTTATACACTATAGCTACGTTTGAATTCATATTCATACTATAACAGACACTGTGCATGTAATTTCATTCAAATCTATCTATTCTTTTTTTTAATTAATCTATGAAATTTTCCATCCCACTGCAGCAACAAACTTGGAGTTAATACGGAGAAATTATAACTGAAATCACCTGCCTATATTGTATACATTCCGGAGGTGTAGCATGGTATTGTGAAGCATTATGGTCATATGAACTGTGGTTCATTTTACCATTATGGTAATATGAACCGCCCCATAGTGAAATGAAGCCCCCCGGCCCCACCCCAAATTTCTCTACCTCAGACTTAATTTTTGTGATTCAGATATATAGCACAACACAGTGAAGTTAACTAAAACAAAATTAATGAAAAAATTTGGTCAGAAAAGAATTGATGGTAGCCTTCATTTCACCATAGGGTGGGTTCATATGATCATAATGGTGAAATGAACTGCGGTTCCTTTCAGCATAGCCTTCCTATTACCATACTACAACGAGCTACAATATATGGCAGTACAATCAATATATCACTGGCCACTGATGTCATGCCCAGGGGTGTAGGATAGGGGAATTCCACAAAGGGGTTTTCAAATTGGGTAAAACCTGAGGTTTATGCATGCAAAGAGTTTTGCACCCAGAGGGTAGAGTTTGCCTATCCTTTATCCATGGACATGTAAAAGTATTTCCCTCCCACTCCAATATTCACCATAATTTGGTCAGAAATTGCATAAATACGTCACAATTCCTGCATTGCACCATTAGAATGTTACCGATTGGGTAAGGTCATGCCATTGTTGTCCCATTAATGTGACATCAAGCACCTGAAATTGGGTGTATTAGGATAGAAAATTTCTTACATCACTTTGTTATCCAGGACAGTTCTGTAACACGAGACCTTCTGAGCCTGTCTACAGCAATCACACATACTAACCACTGAGCCTTCATCATATAAACCTGTATACTTACTGACTGGAAGAAAGGTGTTCAATGACAGGGACCTGTACACCTCCTATAATTTTCGTTCCAATCACTGGGGTGTTTGTGGTCCCGAAGGGTGCTGTGAGACTGGTAAGATTCTCGTATGTACGAAAGTCAATCCCCCCTTGTTCACTCTGGAAAAAATAAAACACAACAGACCAATGAAAAAAGTCACATTAAACTACATTAAACTACCCTTTAAATAGTAAAACTTGTCTTCCCTGGTAGTCTGGCCTACAAGCATGTACAAACAGGTAATAATAGCATTAAATTATATGTATAATCTTACAAAGATTTGTACATCTAGTACGCATCTTTTGTAACTCCAGTAAATTATAGATAATGCTTTAGGCCCCTTTAGGAAAAACAGGAGTTATGTTCATGATTTGATTTTTAAAGTTAATTCAGTCTTTCATCAGAATGGGGGTTATCAGTTGTTATAAAGATCAACCACTATTCTTTCTCATTTTGACAGTCCTTTATCCTCTAATGATAATTTTCAGATTTATTTCACAAATTTGTCTATTATTCCTGGGTTTTTTTTATAACAAAGTGTATTGGAAAGTTTTTCAATCATTTTAACTTTTTCAAATAAATAACTTGTGTTTGTGTAAAAGATGTGTTCTACCTTACACATTCTACCTCTGAATTGTGTTAGAATTAGGGATGTATGCTACCTTACCTTACATCTTTTACAAACATATCACAAACACAATTAAATGTCACAGTAATTACAGGGTGTAACAAACAACTTTAAATGTCACAGTAATTACAGGGTGTGACCGTACCCTTAAATGTCGCAGAAATAACAGGGTGTATTAAACACCCTTAAATGACACAGTAATTACAGGGTGTAACCACACCCTTAAATGTCACTGTAACTACAGAGTGTAACAAACAACCTT